CTCAGGCTCAGGCTCTCTTGCAATCTGACACAAATTATGCAACACGCAACAAGCTACAATAGTTTGTGGTGCATGATTAAGCCCCACATTCAGATCTCGGAGAATTTTCCACCTCGTTTTAAGTAACCCGATAGCTTCCGCCACAACAGACCTCCCTTTCATCAGCATCCCATCGAACAAATTTTGAGCAGGCGTCCCCGCCCCATCCGGAGAAAAGGGTGTCATAAAAAATGACAATAAAGGATAACACCAATCTCCAACAATATAAGGCCTAACATGATGACCCCTAACATTGATGACCTTATCCCACACAATATCACCCGATGTAAGCCTATTATACAACAAACTATCTCTAAATGAGTAGCATCATCTGCCCCACCAGGAGCTTTAACACAAACATCCCAGAAAATTTTCCTATGGTCAGCAACAACCTGAAGCAAAACCGAATCATACCCGTATTTGCATTTATAAGAACTCATCAAATTCCGATCGAGATTCAGCCCACGAACCTTTATCGGGCTCCCATCTATAGCCCCACAAATGTTAGGCAGTGAAGTAAGTTCCTCAAACCCCTGGGTAGTCTCAATCAACCTTCTACGAGAAGCCGGGATCTTAATGAACTCCGGGTAGATCTTAGTAGCCAGGAGACGAGTCACCATGTTGGTGATTTTAGAAACGATGTAAGGATCAAGAGAAGAGCGTGAAGCGATGGTTTTAGCTGAGTATCCATGGCAGAGACGAGAAAGCACCATGGCTACAGCATAATCAGAAGGAAGGGACAGATTCGAAGCGGCTATGAAGGGCTTGAGCTTCTCAACCACGGTGGTGAAAACCGGGTAGGAAAGCCCATACAAGGACCTCCATTCGGCATCACGTATTGGAGGGTCCATCGACCAGATATGGTCAGTGGAGAGAGCGCGAAAAGCGGCGACGGAGAAGTGGGAGGAAGAGGAAGGAGGAGGAGAAGGCGAGGAATCGGGTTCCTTTTTCTTGGAAGAAGAGGTTGCTAGGAAAGAAAGAATGGATGCAAGAGTGAAGAAGAGGAGAGGGCAGGGGAAGAAGATGAGAGGAGAGGAGGAAGAGGAAGGGAAGGGAAGGAAGTGGGAGGAGAGGAAGGGGAAAGGAGGGAAGTGGTGGGATCGAGAGAATTGTGAAGGTGGAGGAGATTCGATAACATCAACAAGAAAGTTTCATCCATTGATGATGAACAAACAAGAAAAAAAAAGTTTCGGATTTTTTTTGGAAGGATTAGGGTTTTTGAGTGATTGGATTTGGGGAAAAAATAAAGATCAAGGAATTTGGGAATACGGGTTTGCTTTGTTTACAGCTGAATGTGAAGAAAAACATCAACTTTTTGACAATGAATTCAAAGCGTTATGTTAATCTCCTTTGCTTCTCAAGTCTTTTGCGAAGAACAAAAAGGAAATTATGTTTCAGACTTCAGTTGAAGCAATAACAGGGAAGGGAAAGTTGATAGTTTTCGTTAGGGATAAAGCAACCTGTAGTTATTAAATTTTACAGTTTTTCCAATTTAGTCCTTCAAATTTTATTTTAATTTATATTAATTTATAAACTTATTTATTTTAATTTTTTTATAATGTAATAATATCAATAATGTCACTTAATATATTTTTAAATAATGGTAAAGTACACAAATGATCCTCTTTCAATAAGATATTGTGTTATTGAGTCTCTTAAATATTAAAATTTATAAAATGGGATCCAACTATATAGAGTTGCTTTGTTGAGCCCCTTGACTATTAAAAGTTACAAAATAGTGACTCAACTATTCATTGTGTTCTAAACTCGTCCTTTTCTGTTAAAAAATTAATGACAATATGAACTAAACGTTAACATGCTAACTGAGATATGATAAAATTTGATCTCATAATCTCAAACAACTATCATATCTCATGTAGCAGGTTAATGTCTAGCTTAAATAACCGTTAATTTTTTAATGAAAAATGATGAATTTAGAACATAATGAATAGTCGGGTCGGGTGACCATTTTGTAATGTATAATAGTTGAATGACCATTTTGTGTAACTTTTAATAGTCGAAGAACTCAATAAAATAATATTCTATAATCGGAAGACTTAATAAAATAGTATCCTATAGTCCGAGTACCATTTGTATACTTTACAATCATTAAAGAAATGCAACCCAGCAAATTTGTTATAGATGAATTCACTTGATCTTTGTTCTTACAACAAGACTTTCAATGAATTAAGTTTTCGTTTTAGTCGTTTCCCCTGTTACTTGGCTGTAATTGCACTGGTTTCAGTATTGGGTGAGTCAGGGGAATAAATGGTGTGATTTCTGCAAAAATTTTCCTATCGAATAACCCGTCAAGTATTCGGAACCACGAGCTCGGTCAACGGCTTAAGGAAAATGTTGCTAAGAGGCTAACTACTATGCGTAAAGAGAGTGCAGCCAAAGAGAAAGAACAAAAGGATGCAGTTCGTGCTCTTGAACAGATTGAAGCTGTAAGTAACCCTCAATTAGGCTTTTCTTGTTAATGCTTTATGTTTATTTTCTTTTTAATGATTAGTATTTCTGAACAATGTTTGCCAGAAAGCTAAGCGGAGTTATCAGAAGGTCGTTGCTAGTTTTTAGGCGAGGGATTCTAATGCGCAAGAATTAGACGGGCAAGAAGGTAAAGTACATGCCATCTTTGACTTCCATTTTATTTTAAATAGTAAAACTTATGGTAGTGATAGAAGTTTTTGGTTAGTCTTGAAACTTTGAGTTGCAGTCGTCATCTGCATGATTGGCTTATTGTATGGTCTTAAACCCTTTAGATTCTACTTAGGACTATGCAGCGTTGTGTTGTATTCTGTTTAAATAAGAGATTATCAAACCTAGGCTATATGCATTGGATTTCAGCTGAGATTAATAGCTCTTCTTGAGTATTTACATGACATCGAGACTGGCTTTTAACACCATCTTGCTGTTGCTAAATTTCCTGTCGTAACAGTGGAGCTTTTGAGTTTGGATTATTGCAGGAAAATGCATGTCTAATCTAGTTTATGTAATAATGTTTACTTTTAAACTTCCGTAGCATAAGGTATTATTTGGTTTACTATTCACTTCATATAGAGTCCATTACTATTCTAACTCTTACAGCTTGATGCAGACTGGGAATATGACAGTAGTTCAGGTTATTACTACAATCAAAACAACGGTTTATGCTATGATTCAAAGTCAGGATTCTACTATTCCGATGATATAGGTATAAATCTGCATTTTAACAAAGTGTTTTTTCCTTTCTTTCTTTCTGAAGATAATATATTAGATTAAATGTTGTCTTTGGTATATTTACTTAGAGGGACTGCCACAGGCAGGTGGGTGACTCAGTAAGAGGCATACGCCAAGGTTCAAGCTTCATCAAATACTAAACCGAGCGGTCCTATTTTGAAAAAGCCATTTCCAACTTTGGGGGCAGGACCAGTTGCAGATAGCAAAAGTGTTGCTAAAAGTAAAAATGAGACTGCACCCGGGCCTGTCCTTTCAGCTACACTAAACCCCATGAGATCTGTTAAAGGTGCTCAGCCCTCACTCGCTGTTAAGAGAAAAAGACAAGATGAGAAGAAACCCAAGGCTGTATCTAAAGAAGAGGCAGCTGCACTCAAAGCAAGGGAAGCTGCGAAAAAGAAAGTTGAAGAGAGAGAGAAACCGTTGCTCGGCTTGATTCAAGAGGTATGCTTCAGCATGCTACTAAATTTCCATTTTCCTTCTCTCGGTTTGGAGAGGGGGGCAACTTAATTTGACCATATTCCATATATTGTACTACTATTATCGAAGACGTTACTCTAATCCCTCGTTTGTTTTTCCATTTATACTTTATTTTCATTGACTGCAGAAGCAAAATGTCATTGATGGAGTGGATGACACAACTTTGGCTGTATACTATATAGCCATGTAACTGGTTGGTTGGTCCAAATATGTTGATTTATGATATTTTACCCTGGAAATCTAGGGTCAATATCAAGTGTGTTTTGGTTATAATATCTTTGTTACAATTAGAAATACCAAACTGATTTATTAGGGCAATAGAGTGATTTTCTTCAACTGTATTTCGTCGCAGATACCGGAAACATGTCGAAGCAGGTTCATATATTTTACTTAACATGAATGTTGTATTAATGTTAAAGAATGAACCAAAATGGTAGCTCTCAACACATTCTTGTTATTGGAAAGTGGCAGATTTGCTTGTTGTATATACTTGCATTTTTAATCCTTTTTCTCTCTCTCTTTTTGCTTGTAAAACCTTGAAATTCAACGTTGACCTGGTGAATTTTGGTCTGGTGACTGTTGTCAGGCTCGTAAGATAATATTAAATACTACAAATTGAGCAAGTGGCGTACAATGGGACTCTGTTGGGTTTCCAAGTCAAACATTTGGAGCTTAGTAAAAAATATAGTGCCTAGAGTCGGCTTAACCCCCAACAAAACCATTTTTTTAAAACTTGATCATTCAATTTTGATATTGTTCTATTTTTATGACAATGTATCTGTCTTTTAAATTTTTTGAAGAGGACTCAAAATTTTCTTTTAAATTTGTCAAAATATTCTTAAATCTTTCTTCACAAACTTTTAACTTCTAGGATTTTCTTTAATTCTCATGTTCTTTCAGATTCTAATGATGGGGAGGTGGATAAGTAGGAGATGAGTAATATATCATGATTTCACAATGATCAGATGATACAGATTGAATATTACTCTTATGAGTTTTGGGTTGAAGTTTTATGATAAAGAGATTTTAGAAGAAAAAAAATTAAATTGATTGAGTGATAAAAAATGACGTAATCAGTTGGTCGATATCTAGAATGACAAGAGAAGACGTTGGAAAATGACAATATTAATGACGGTGTGAGATGGGGAAGAAATTCCAAAAATTGTAAAGTTGTTGAAAATTTGATGAAATGAAGAAGAAAGAGATGAAATGACTTTCATATGAGCAAAAAATCCCAAAAGTTGATCAACAAAATTCGCATTAATCCGAATTATGCAATTTGGAACCAAAAAAATTCGCAGTTTCTTTTAAACCTGACCTGTTTACATTGACAATCTACCTCTGTATGGAAAAAAAATGAGCTGCTAGTTGATACTGATATACATAGTGCTTAATTACGAAATCCCGTTCATCCACGTGTCAAAGACCCAATACCTCTAGAAATCCATGCATCCCAGGAGCCCCTTCCTGTAAGGTAAGTAAGTCTTCCTCTTCATTTCCACCGAGACGGCCCGGTTCGTCTTGTAATGCAACTCGTGAGCCGAAACCGGCCCTCTCCTCCTCGAAACCGAACCGATGCTTTCTGTGGACCGGAAGCTTGAAATTTTCACATCCTCCGGTTCTTTCCTACACAGAACACCATATTTCCTTCTAATGGAGTCTTCACTTGTTGTTGCTCTGCTCTCTGATGCACTCCTGAACAACAAAATGTCTTTCAACTTCCATTTTCCGTTACCGAAAGGTAGCGAAATGGCAGAGAGGATTGAATCGACGTAAGATTTGGAGTTGCTTGTGTTGCAAGAAATTGTACTTTTTGATGAACTTTCCTCCTTTGTTTCAAACATGATGTCGGATACTCTAAAAGGAGACAAAGATCTGGTCTTTTTATGAACATTGTGCGTCCTTTCTCTCCCACGTTGTCCCCATTGTATGTTCTTGTCCTCTTGTTCTTCTTCTTGCTTTCGCTTCGGTTGTTCTACGAGTAATACTACTCCTCCGTGACTTGTCTCGCTCGATGCTTCGGATGGATCAAAATCATGTTGTTGAGGTCTCAAAGGCCGGATCTTTCCGCCATCGAAAAGCTCCTCCGCGGACAATGAAGTCCTCTCTAAGTGTCCACTAAAGTCAAACTTGAAATCTTTGCACCCGCCACCGTCCTCGCCGTCAATCGTATCTCCTCCTTTTCTTTTAGGCTGTTGATAGAAAGAGGGAGTGGTGGGGACGCTGTTGAAGAAATTGTCAAAGCGTTGAGGACTCGAAGGAGCAGTCATGTAAGGAGATGAACATGTGCTATCGAAGTTGAATTCGATTGCAGGGACCGGAACTTCGATCTCCATTGACATACTTGGGTTTCTCAAGATTTCCAGGTTATTAGAACCCAAGGTGAAGAAGATAAACGAGGGAGTGATATATATATATATATATATATATAGGAAAGGAGGAGGAAGGAGAGTGATATTGACCAAGGACTCAACAGTGACAAAGGAGCCGCCATTATTTTACAAATCTAACTACTGTTATATATATGCATGTATGACATATCATTGTATGATTGAGTTGCAAAGGGGTTCGTTAGGTGTGAAACAATGAGGGGCAGAAATGATTTATTTGTTACATTTTATTGATAACAAAGTTTCATTTTAAAATTTTAATATTTTAATCAACATGGGTCGATTCAAGTGTTGAGCAGTATGATATTGCTTAAGCAAGGTATCTAGTTCTAGTTTTGATGTATACAAAAAGTTCTTGTTAGGAGAGCTAACCCATCAAACCCTAGAAATCAAACACTGATAATCTTCTAACAGATAATTAGGACAATTAATATTGTTTTCGTTTGAATATTTTATTGGAAGCTGGTTTGTATAATCTAATGCCACCTGGTTTCCCATTGTTCCTTTGGTGAGCCAATAATCCAATTAATCAAACCCTAATTTTAATTGGGGGAAAAACAGTGTTAGTAATACATTTAAAACACGTGATTTGATGTTTTATGTCAACTTTGATATTTTATTTTCTTTTTATTGTCAAATTTGATCAACTTTTGTAATTGAATATGCAAAGCTCAACAACTCTTTTATTTATTTATTTATCTTTTAATAGAAAAATATCCAACCATGACTGCCCTATGGACCAAAAAAACAGGTTTAATTATTTTTAGGTCATTCATAATTTTAAAATTTTAGTTCCAACCAAATTTTAGATTCAATTGCTTGTTAGGCCCTCTTATTTTAAAATTAGGCAAATTAAAGTATTGATTCTTCACCAACAACAAGTTGACCTAGTGGGATGAGGCATTAGGTCCCTTAAGCAAGGTCAGGAGTTCGAATCCTGACGTTTACAGATGAAGCAAACTGGGTTGGGAGGGTCGCCCTCGCCTCTGTAGTACCCGATCTGGATTAGTCGGTTAATAAATCGGATACCAGTGATTAATTAAAAAAAAGCATTGGTTCTTCAAATTTTGGGTTAAATTATCTTTTAAGTCCCTTTAGTTTTGAGATTAGGCAAATTAAGTTTTGATATATAATTTTTTTAGTTTAAATACTTATTAAAACCCTATCAATTTCAAAATTAAATAATATATTATAGCATGACACCCTAATTTTAAAATGGATTACTTAATAATTAAACTATACCTCTTATTTTGTTATTATTTACATTTATCTCCCTGAACGTTTGTTCTGACTACGTCCCTACGTGTATGTTAAGATGCACTAGGAACAACATATACGCTAGGATCCGGGATTGGTGGCGTAACATAGTTATAGCCATAACCATAACCGTAACCGTCTTAGCCTTGTCATTGATGATATCCTCGGTTCCGTTGGTTTCCATAATCAGCACTCCGCTGTCAAAACCGGTTTTAAGTAGGCGTCGGAGAGGTGTAGTGTAATTCATGCTATACCATAGAATTATGCAGAATCTGAGATAGTATTTGCAGAGATGGAAATGGTTGGAAAAATAATGAGAAATAATAGCCTTGTATGGGAGATTGCTTTCAAATTCAATATATTACAAAGTAGTCTGAGTTTATTACAATTCAGTCAATTTCGGACCTTCGCTCACTTGGTAGAGCGGAGGACTGTGGTTGGAGCATCTCCCATCCGAAATCCTTTGGTCGCTGGTTCGAATCCGGAAGGTGGGATTTACTTATTTTAATTTTTTTTTATTTCCAGAACGGAATTCACTTTCTCGGCATCCAAACAGGGATGCTGGAAAGTGGGTGTTGGATGAATGTTTGATCAATCAAAATCCTTGTTTTTCTCTCTTTAATTTCATGGTTTTTTTTAATGAATCGTTGAAATATGATGAAATTTTGTATTAAAAACCATATCTTTTGTGCATGATTTCCTACAGCTACATCCAAACTCCCATAGCTTTAAAAATGCTAAATTACAGTTTCTATCCTTCAACTGTTCTTATAATTAAGAATTGTTCTTTAACTCTGCATGATTCAATCTACTTTTATAATTTGTTAGTTCTAATAGTTGACAACTTAAATATTCAATTAAAATATTTAATTGAACTTGAAGAGATTCTGCTAATGAAGTGAAATCGCATTCTTCAGGTGCAGAGCTACCAAATCCGAAAAGACAGAGGAGGAAGATGAAGAAGTTCGAGCCTGATAAGTCATTTGTTTTACGGTTTGTAAAGATTTTTGGCTGCCGGAGGTCTTCCACGGAAGCTGCTCTCAACCTGGCGTTGGGGGCAACTTACTACCTTACCTCCCTTCATCCCATTACATATGGGAATAGGATCAGCTAATTTTAGGTTGCTGGTTCGAATCCACCAGGTCGGATAAATCTATTTTGTTTTTAACATACGGTGGTTTCATTTTCAGAGCGGAATTCACTCTGATAACTTCTCGGTCAATATTTTAATCTTGTACATATTAAACTTGAGATTTCTCTTCAGTTAATGTTACTTTACCTTTAGTCTGTCATAATCTTACTTAAAAAAAATTAATCGAGCATGATTTTTAAGTGTCATCGAGTAAATCAATAAAAATTGTTGGGATAATGCTTTGGGGGGGGGGCGGGGGAATTGACACATATGGACTGTTGAAAAATTATTTTTCAATCATGGTGAAATGGATGGTGTATGAGAGAAGTCGGTTGGTTCCTTTATGAAATTGGTTAGATCTAAGGTGTTTTTGCTTGAAGTCTAGACCTAGGGACGTATGCAAGATTTTATGCTAGAGGCAAACTTAGAAAATACACATAAAATTTTAAAATATAAGAGATATTGAGAATTTTAAGAGCCAACTATCTCCGCCCTCTATTGATCCATCCCTACCTGTAACTAGAGACATGTATGGATGATGAAGAGAAGACGTCGTATTTTTCATTCGTCTTTTCTAAGACATCAAATGATTCAGTCGACTTTCCCTAATATTTATTATTAGCTGCCAGTTATTTAGTTAGTTTGTTATTAAACTGTTAGACTTTTAGTTAGATCTAAAGCAGTTAGAGTAATTGTATATAAATACTTTAGCTTTGTAAACATTATCGATATATGAAATATATGAAGTACTCTCCATCAAATATTCTTGTTCTAACATGGTATCATGAGTCATACGATCCATTTAGCCTTTTTTTCACGCGTCAGCTGTTCTTGGGTGAGGTCGGAAGGGTCAACACTGGGTCAATACTTTCTCCAATCTCAAATGTTTCTGTTATGTACTCCAATTCGGTTGGGCATAGTGATCGAAAACAGTTTTTAGGTGTGTGTGATCACTGTAAACTTCGAGGACATAACAAATTAATCAGTTTTCATGCTGATTTCAAATTCACCAAGAAAAAAGGGAGTCGAGTAGCTCTGGCTTCTACCCGATCAGTTCTTGGTCCTCCCAATCAGGCAAGTCTTGAGTCACAACAAGCTGATACTTCCAGTCTTCCAATTGCTCCTTTGTTTACACACCCCCAGTACAACCAGATTCTTCATCTCTTAAACAAGGAGCCTTCTGGGACTCAGCAATAAACCTTGCAGTTATTGTTTCTGACAACTCTGACTTGAGTGATCATTCTTTAAATTGGATATTGGATACATGGGCTACTGACCACATGCTATATGACTTTCAGAGGTTAATTTCTCTTATTTCGTGTAGCTTAAAATCTAGGCTTGTACATTTACCCAATGGTCAAACAACTCATATCACTCACAAAGGTTCTTTTTGCTTTAATCAGGACCATTCAATTACTAATGTTTTGTTTGTTCCACAATTCTCTCGTAACCTTTTATCAGTCTTCAAATTAACTAAAGAACTAAATTGCAGTGTTTCTTTTTACCCTGATTTTTGTATTTACATTATTTCTCCACTGTAAGGATTAAGGGGATTGATAGAGAGTCTCGAAGGTTGTATTTTTTTATTCTAGTTTGGTTATGGCATTTCTTCTATTTTTCATTGTAATTCTATTTTTTCAAGTTCTTCAAAATTTGTTTGTCTCTGGTTCTTCAAGTTGTATGAGTCATTCAAACATTAATAATACTAAGTTTTGGCATGCTGCCCTATCCAATTTACATAAGATACATTATTTGCAGTCACACAAAATTTTTTTTATAAGAATAGGAGGTCTCATTAAAAACTTCCCTCATAGTTGCCTCTAGATTAGAGGCAACTAACGGAAGGAGGAAAAGAGTACCTCAATATATTAATAAACCAAAATTACATAAGACTTCTGTTTACAAAATCACCCGAAATAAAAGACCAAACATAACCACTATAACACTGAAGACATTCAACATATCCCCTCCTTAGCTAACTTGTTTGCCTCCCAATTACAAGCCCTAGAAACTAGCCTAACCATAATGTCCCTAGCAGAAATTAAATCCTCAATTTCCCCAACCAAAGAACTGAAAAACACAGGGGCAACAAAAGGCCTCAAAATCCAATCCACTGTTGTTTTGCAATCACTCTCAAGAATAAGTCTTCCCTTCAACACCCATTCCGAATAAAGAAACAAATCAATGCCTTCTTTAATAGCTTTCAACTCAGCAAACAAAAGAGGACATGGTCCCACAGCCTTAGAAAAAGTGATCAAGATAGAGCTATTCGAATCTTTCAACAATCCTCCAATTCCACCCTGCAAACCATCACCTCTAACCGCCTCATCCACATTGAATTTATAAAATTCAGATGGAGGTGGAAACCAGCACTGATCATTCTTCTTATTAGGAAATTTAACTGCAATCCTGTCTGCAAGCAGAGGATCCCCTATTAATAAATCAATATGGATATTAGCCTTAGGAAATTTAGCTAAAAACCATTTGGCCAGCCTAAATCTGCAAATGAAGAACAGTGTAGAACTGTCAAAATTCCAGTTTTCGAACACCACTAAAT